CCTTGCTGAATAGTATGGTGCTTAGAGGCAAGCAAACCAGCTTTCAGCTTAAAAAGTAACAACAGAATAACAATATACCAAGTAACAAAAATGATGACAATAGCACCATTTATTTTCAAGCATTCACTGTGTAGGGGACACTGTACTCCCTGTTATCTCTGATCCCTGCTAAATACAGGGAAACTTCAGTATCACAGGTCATTGTGAAAGGAAGGAAATGATTTATTGATGTGACCATGGCAATTAGTCACCTTAGATTCCTATTTCACAAGAACGCACCAAAATACATTTGAACCATTTAAAGGATTAATTTTTTTTTTTTTAAATTTAAAAAGATGTAGCATTCAAATCCGAATATGTCTTGTTACCAACTGGGCCCTTGTTCACCTGAGCAAACGGCCTTCCATGAATGATTACTCGTGCAATGTCTCAATCGTCAACTTTAGGATGACCTAACAGAAACACGCAATGGGATTACAGGGAGCCTAGAGGAGCTGTCCGTTCTGCTCATGCAATGTTACAGTGCCACTTTGTGGAGTATTGTGAAATTTAGGGAAGCTTTCACTAGCCAGCCGGTTTTTGGAAAAAGTATGTAATTTATGTACAGGCACGTATAATACGTGCACACCTCAACATGTAAGCATTTATACATAAGCAACAACATATATTCTCATCTCTCTCTTTTTTAAAATTATTAACATATAATGTATTATTTGCCCAAGGGGTACAGGTCTGTGAATTATCAGGCTTACACAATTCACAGCACTCACCATAACACATACCCTTCCCAATGTCCATAACCCAGCCACCCTATCCCTACTCCCCCACCCCCAGCAACCCTCAGTTTATTTTCAGGTCTCTTTAATTGTATCAACTAACACATGTACTTACTTACATTATCTCATGAAAATCCCTAATCTTAGCCTGTAATTTTTATTTGACATTTATTTTAGGCTTTTTAAGTCTCAAGGAAATAAAGCAAAAAGTTATGGTGAAACACATGATTCAGTCACTAATAAAGCAATATAATAAGTAAAATACATTTGTATTGCCTCAAAAAGAAAATAAACAGTTTAGTTCTTTGACACTACAGTAATTTCAGAGCAATTAACAACAGCAATAAAAAAGTAATTAACAATCAGATAGCTACATTTTAGCAAAGTCCCATGACTAATGCAACATTCACATTAACCTTATAGTTTTAAAATTTTAACAGCAATGTTGCCAAATTCTCAGTATCAATCCTTTTCAATCTATGTTGAGTGTAAAGGAAAGTGAACCTTCCATAGCAGAAGACACTTTCTTAGGACCCAGGAGAACAGAAAGGACATCTCTCTAGTAGATGTGCAGGTACAATGTAAGAATCACTTGGGAGAAACAATCAAAAGATGGCAAAATGCCCTCCAGTACCGTAGCGCGTTTCTTAGCAACATAAAAAACAACTCTCTGCTAACAAACTCTGTCAAGCAAAAAGTGTTTACCGAGCATAATTCAGATACTGAATTCCAAGTAAATCTAGCGATATTTACATTCCTAATTATATGAAAATGTGTAGTTTTTTTATATTTAATACCCAAATTTTGTACAACAAGAATGATTTCTTATGAAAAGCTGCTTCAAACATGGAAAGTGTAGATATAAATGAACCAGGGCACTCTTTTCACGTGATCCCTGATTTCCAGGGAACGCATATTTAATTTTTCTTTAAAGCATACATCTTGCCCATAATATACAGGCAAACTGATAAATGCTGGCATCAGAACATATTACTCGTTGTCAGTATCTGAATGGCAGGTCACCAAGAGAAGAAACTGGAGACTCTCAGAAGAAATTCTCCACAAACAGCGATATCTTCAAGTCACCATTTGTTCTGAAAAAAAGATCTGTTCCCACACTCCATTTCAGCAGAAGGGTGCCACCCCATGGCCTCCGACTGTAACAACGTTTCTTTTCGGCCTTTTCTGCAAAGGAGCAACTATGGCTCCATTCACTGACATTCGAACTCATTTGGTAAAAGGGTGAAATGAACACCCTAGTTCTTGAATTGTATTAGTAGCACGATGATATTAGATGGGTTTTTCAAAGTGGTAGTTTGTGATTTCTCTATGTCCTTTCATCAGTCACACAGCTTGAAAATAAGTTAGTTTTACAATACAGGTATAAAGCTACTGTGCTTTCAACAGTATGTTTTTTAATAGGGAAATGAAACTGTTTTAATTGTGAATAAGTCTTTATTTTCTATCACAAATTCTAGAGATTCTTCAAGTGGTTCATATAACTCATTACCCAAGACTTGTTAAAGAAAGTAGAAAGTATATTTCCACGTAGAAGCATTTGGGGAACACACTGCAGACAATTTGGTTAATCCCTCAAGTAAAACATCTTAATTTGTTAAATTTATATGTTATGCTTTCTAATAACTAAAAAAGGAATATCAATTGATTAGAATACTTAAGTTAGTACTTTCTGAATTCTGTCATTATAATAGTGTGACATTTGAAAACTTTGACTTAGTTTTCACCTTACTTGATCATATCTAGGATATGTACGCAGGCCAGTCTGTGACAGAGATCACCTTGTCAGTAGAGGAATCTTCTATTTTTATATAGATTGTGCTACCACTATAAATATCCATGTCAAAAAGATTAAATAAAACATTCCTATCCAAAATGATAGACCAATCTAATAGGCTAAAGAGTAAATTATAAATTGTTTTGTGTGTGATGTTTATTATTGTTTTGTTTGCTCTTGTAATTTAATTTTTCAAAAGATTATTTATTTATTTATTTATTTAAGAGAGAGGGAGAGAGTGTGTGTGCACAAGTGGCAGAAGGGACAGAGGGAGAGGGAGAGAGAGAGAATCTCAAGCAGACTCCACCTTGAGTGTGGAGCCTGATGTGACACTCCATCTCATGAACCTGAGATCATGACCTGAGCTGAAATCAGAAGCCAGATGCTTAACCACCTAAGCCACCCAGGTGCCAAGATAATATTTTAGAAATACAAAATAGCATGACAGAATGGTAATTTAGAAACACTGATATTGGATGTATTGCTAAAGTTGTAATTCCACGTTAATAGAAAATGCCATGTAACAGTCACAGGATGCAATTTATGCTTCAGTTCTTATCGGCTGTTTTCAGACATTTAATGCCTATATTGGACAAATTATAAATCTTTCAATTCTATTGAATTTTTAGTTATTTGGGAATTAAAAGTAATGAAAACCCTGGTATTTTGCTGTAGATGTGGACCTAAGGAAATCTGCTTTTTTGAATCAAAAACTTTATAATGTATGTTGTCTGTCTCCACCTTGTGGGTATTGTAAAGATTACTACTTCTTAATTTTTTTCACAAGAGAGGTTGAATGGCTATGAAAAAATAGAAATCCTTGTCTACCTTTAGGTTTTTACTTTTAGACACCAGAAATACAGAAAACTTTTCAGATGACTGAAAATTTCAGATACATTATGATACCAAAGTGTTAGATCATCTAAAGCATTTCTAAATCTCTTTGCCAATGTTATTAGTAGTTCTTGCAAAAATATTACATAATTGTAGAATCCTGTATTTAAACTGGGCATATGAACAATTCATCCAACACGCTGTATATCTAAATGAACTTTCCTTTAGACTTTCATAGCACATACAGACTTTGTATGACACTTCCTAGGAAAGTCACAAACCAAAGAAGAAAGTTTTTGTAATTGTTGTCTCCCTTTCCCTTAGGAAAAGTATAAGTGTCCAGTAAAATTTCTTCGGTTCCTAAATCAGAGGTTTTATTTTAAATTTTAAAGACAAACTCCTGACTTCCAATTATACATTATTTTCTTTTCTTCCCACTCCACTCAAGAACAGAGAATATTCTAGGGATCAAGACACACTGCCTTGCTTTCAGGGATTTATGTTCTGTCCAATTTTTAAAGCATGAGAAACTTTCACTAAAGTGTCTGATTCATAGATTATCTGTCAGTTCATGTCTAAATTAGAGAAGGTTGTTGGATCACATCTGTATGAAACAATTTGAAATGATCTAATTTGAGCAAAAAAGTTCCTACCTGGTTGAATTTGCCAGCTATTCTACTAACTAAGCATGTTTGTTACTTTTGAACTTCTTGTTTTGTTGCATGAAAAGTTAAATACTGTAAAGAGAAGTTAAAGTTCTTTGGAGTTGAAGAGACTACCTCAAAAGCCAGCCACAGGCTTTAGTCCCTCACACAGTCACTCTGCCTACGAGAGTATAGGTTCTTGATTTTCTTGTGGTTTAGATGTGAAATGCACAGTCTTTTACATGAATCCATGCTCCACAGTGTAATGTATCAAGCAAGCCACTCATTAAATGTACACTGTGCACAACACAGAGAATTGTGTATCATCTGGTTAAAATATAATTTGCCTTTAACACAGATTTCTACTAAGTGTCCTTTTTTCCCAATGATTTTGTGATCTGGTATTTCTATCCTGTATTCTAATCGAGAAAATAAAACAAAGATGGATAATTTGTCTCTTTAGAGAAAACGAAGATCATATTATTCCTGTGTCCTGCTCCTATCAAAGATTAAATACCCTTCCTAATTACAACTCAACTTTTGATGCCCAGAACACTTATGGCATTTATGTCAACTGAAGCTAAAGACTCAAACAAACCTAATATAGATTTATGATTTTATAATAATTTTCCCTAAAACATAAAAAGACAAAAGAAATTGCTATTTATATGCAACCAAGAGAAAATGTTTTGGGGAAACAGATTTTACACTCGGGTTTATAATTAGCCACTTTAAAATAAATGAGTTTACTCTCTTAAAATATTCTTCAGATAAAAAAAGCCCTGAAGAAAACTGGAATTCAGGAGGGGGCAGTTAGAAAACATGAAACCACACTGATAACAACTCCATTCCAAAAGGCATTAACACTGCTCAAATATTGGATTTATCATGTAATTTACAAGACCAATACGTTAGACTTGTGCCATAATGATGTAACAGGCCAAAACTTACCTTTTTCATTGCCATTTGCATAATTTGGAGGCTTGTTTTTGTCAATGCTGTTAAAGCTCTGACTTCTCCTATTTAAATTAGAGGCTCCCTGGACTTTGCTGCTGCTGCCTGCAGTTGGCACCCTAGAGGGACCTGGAAGCCTGAAATAGTATAAGAAAAATTACATCATTTTTGTATATTACAAAAAGATAAGGGGTAAGAGGTCCTGATCAGGGAAGCCTTAGTGGAAAAAGCACAACATACGATGTTCTAAAATCTGTTTAGCAGAAAATGGTGGTTTAAGTGATAAATAAGCTAAACACAAGAATTAAGAATCTTCAGAAAAATCTTATTTCACTTTTCAATAAACATGCCCTCAAATGACATTAAGAATGTAGAGCAATTAGAAATAAAATAACCTTTAACTAAAAAAGTAATACTTACAACACCTCTGATGAATGGCACCTTGACTTCAAAATACTATAACAATTACATGAAAAGCAAGGGAAATAACACAAATGTATTGTGTTCTCGAGGTATTAATCACCTATTTGCAGTTGTTGTTAAGTTGTTCTTTTCGATGTATGGGACATTTGTTTTTCTCTTAGATAGCTGTTTCCTAATAAGTCAACTTGATAATAACAAGAAGAATAAAGTTACTGAACAAATGGCTAATAGCAAATGCTTATTGCATATCTAAGGTAGTAAGCTATTCCGATTCAAGCATGATGCAGAGACCAAAGTCACGAGTTAATTTGTATTTTACAGGTCTGCCTCAAAAAAATTTTTTTTCTTTAATCATTTTGCCAGAAATAAGCACCTAGACATTAGCTAATTATCTTACAAGTGTGGCCAGATGATCACAAAGGTGATATGACAAGAAAGGATGCAGGTCTCAGAAGCAGAAAAACTGTTAACAGAATGGCAATGTAAAATACACCTACAGGGACAGTGACTTCAGCTAGTCCTTGGGGATGAAAGACAGGACAAGAGGAAATAATAGGCAGACTGTGTTAAAATTAGGGGAAGTTTGATGTTAGGTTGTGATCTGCAGTTATTCTATGCAGACTAAAATTAAGTATCAGTGTGATCATTTCCGTCACTGTTTAAGCAGTTTCCATCTTGAAATTTCAAGTATCAATTATTCATGAATTGTGCCTACAATATACAATCACTGTATTTTACTCTACCCTGTTAACATATTATATATGTATAGTAAACAATCTGGATAAGTTAAGAACTAGTAATTAAGAACAAATATTGGCATTCTAAGTCATATTTAACAACATGGTACTAAAGGATGTCAGCCTCTTTGCTAGCATTTGCTGCCACCATGTGAATGTCACTGTGTACTGCTCAGATAATTTCTATTTTAAAAGAAATGAAACTCCAGGCCTTATAAATGAAGCACAGAAATTTTTACTGTTCTCTATACTAAGTTTTTAAAATGACAGAGTGTTTATACCTGTTATATTTGTGCCTGATATATCACAATTTCAAGATCAGTTGTTACTATTTTCATATTTTAACTCACCTTCATAATTAATATATTATTTCCATAAATTGTTAGGAAATCAAACTTTTAAAACTCAAGTTATTTTTTAAAATAGTAACAGGTATTGCAACAGGGAATGAACATCAGGAAAATAAAAATACCAACTTAAAAACAGAAGTGTTGCTTTCTTGGAATAGTTAATAGTTTCAAAATGTTGACTGTATTCTGGAGTTTAAATACATATGGCTAATAAATAGTTCCTTCAGCTGTTTTGCCAATTAGAAGCTGTGCCATGTACAAGATTGGAAACTTTTCCAAATGATTCCAGCATTTAACTTTTGCTCAGATGGATCTACAGGGTATGTAAGTATAGCACAAAACCACAGACACCAGGAATTTTGAGTACTAATGACTGCACTCTGAAATAGGACTCAGTTAATTAATTTGGCCAAATGCCCCAATCATAATAAATCCAAGAACTATCCCTGCAGACACAGCTACAGACTTAGAAAGTTCATTCCAAACTCACATGTATAAACAAATTTTGTCACAGAACTTGCCCTGCTTGCAATGAAACTTGACCTGTTTCTAGAAAGCAATTAAAATGCATTTTAATCTTTATTGTGACCAATGAAGGCAAGTGATCTTTAGTTTTCAGAAGAACAAATTAAAACAAATTTAAAAATCCATTTGCTCTTCTCATTACCCTAATTTGACAGGCAGCCAGAGATCCAGATCATTCATCAAAGTAATAAAAAGAGAAATGAAAATGAAGCCAACAAAAGACAGACAGAGAGAGAGAGAGAGAAATGTTCTATTAAATTAATGTACTTAAAATATATTTTATATGCATGAGTCTTATAAGTGGTAATAAAAACTGTACAAGGCAGGTCACTGTTTTTTTGCACATTTGAATTTACATCATTTTTCCTACTTTAAATTAAATGCCCTTTAAATTTTTCTCTCCAGAATCATTTTAATTACTATGGAAATGAACATAACTTAGAAAACCAAGGCAAGAGAAAAAGCACATACCTCACGTCAAGGCATCATAAGCAGTCCTTGTGGTCAAACATTGCATAATACGATACATTATCAGAGCAATGATTAGGAAGCCACCAGTAAGGGAGAGGTCACATACAATGACATAATAATCAAGGGCGCAAAACACATTTGCCGTGGCTTCACTCAGCTGTACGATCATGCCTTCGGCAACTTAACATTTTTTTTAATAAATCATACACTTTCAATATACATTTATCTATCAGTATTTTCCAAACAGTACATCATACAGTCATTTCCTATAACAGACTGTCTTTAAAATATGTATGTCATAAAGAAGCAAAACTTTATACTATTATACGTAAAGGAACAATCCAGGTTAACTTGGTGACCTGGTGCTAACCTTCCCACAAAAAACTGTCAGTATTTCTCAATTCTGCCTCAAAATGTGCAGAAATTAATGTATGTCCATCTCCAAAAACAATTACATTCTTGTCATGTAACTTCCAGACTCTGTAACCTGGAAGGAATGGGGCCTTCAAAGTCATCTTTTCCTTGACTTTCTCTAAGCCTAGAAGCTAGACTTCAGCCCAGTCATAACAGTAAATATAACAAAACTAAAACAGAAGAAGTCAGAACCCATTTAATGATCTAACACAGACATGCTCATCCCGGAGAAATGCATATGGAAATCCATTTGGAAGAATTCAGTCTTCTAAACTTTTCATCCAGAAGTATGTAATTTATGAAAAAAATTTAGTATGATAGGACAAAATATCACTGGGCAGTTACTTTATCATCACTAACAAGCAATAAATTAGAGATATTAACTGACCTAGTAGGCTTTTTTTGACTGGTTGCAATTCCACTGTGATTAGACTGAGTTGCATATCTGGCTGCCAGACTGTATGAGGAGAAACAGAGAAATTGAATTAAAGAGATTCTTTGAACATGGAAAGAAAGCACAACATTACAAGAAAACTATGAGTTAATGAAATGCGATCGGAACATGTATAAGCATGTATAAAGGATAAATTAATTAGAAAATTATGATAATGCAACATATATACTGTGACCTTTGATTAATGAACACACTATGAAACAATGCAGGGCACCCCTTGAAATTAAGTGTGTCATCAGTGACTTTAAAATTATGGCCATGTGATAGTGTTCATATTATTTTGAGTAGGATTTCATTTCATAAAGAAATTCAACCTTTGTAAATGACTGGAAAATTTTCAGGAAAGCTGAAGTTTGACTTTACATAATACAACGAGCTCTTTCTCAAAGAGGTTAAAATGAACAGAAAGAGTATGAGAGTCATTATTTTCTTTAGCAAACTCTTCAAATTTGCTGCTTTCACTTGAATATTATTTCTAAAACCAAATGACTAAAATATGTAGTTTCTGACAAATGTATTGTTTGATCTCAAGTCCTGGATAGACAGTTTTAAGGAAGCGGACAAAACAAGATGGTTTTCTAAAGAAAGAACTATGTAAAAGTTAAATGGAATAAATTGGAGTCAAATTCTCCAACTGAACAACCAACTATTAATGACAGTTTCTGGGCATGCTTGAGTTGTAGTTCTTAATAATTTTTAAATCAAAATCGTTGATCAAAGACACAAAAGAAAGCATTATTTAAACCGAGTTCCGAAGAACAGCGAATATTTTACAATTCAAAACTGAAATTTTGCACTTAAACTAATTCCTGAATTACCTGAGTGTTCTGAAATGAGTGTTTTGAAGGATACAGTGGGACCCGATTAGATCTGAAAAATATTCACATATCCTGCGATTGGTCATGGATTGATGCCTGAGTGGAGAATCACTTTTCAGGTGAATTGTGAGGGAGCAAGAAGGCCCTTAAAAACAGCCCGGACAGAAAAGAATATATCCTTATAGCTAGGAAGGTTTTCAGAACACTTATTTTTCACATTCGATATATATTATTTGCATATAATAAATTCTGTATCCTAACTACATTGGGCGCTGAGAATATTCTCCCAACTGCTTCAGTTAACAAGGATACCAGAGAATAATATTAAAATAAAAACCAAAGTATCTGGGGGCGCCTGGGTGGCTCAGTTGGTTGAGCAACTGCCTTCGGCTCAGGTCATGGTCCCAGAGCCCTGGGATCGAGTCCCACATCGGGCTCCCAGCTCCATGGGGAGTCTGCTTCTCCTCTGACCTCCCCTCTCATGCTCTCTCACACTCTCAAAATAAACAAATAAACAAAAAAAAAATATTTTAAAAAACCAAAGTATCTGAATGAAATGAGATTATTAATTTAAAAATCTAAATTTCAAATACAAGCACCCAAAGTGAAGAAATATTTATTGTGTGTGAACTTCTCAGTCTATTTTGTCAATCCAGAGAAAGACCTACCTCAAGGTTCACTACTATGTCTTACCCTGTGTTCTACAAATTGAACACAAATATTGGCTGGAGAAATGACAATGAAACAATGTACTTTCCTTCAGGGAACAGAAGCCATCTCATAGCATTTTCTTGCATGATTTTAAGGAAGCTCAATAATTTCCAGGACAGAAGTGGGGTAGGGGAAGAAAATCTAGAAAGGTCGACTAACTTGCTAAAATCAGTTTGGTTTTATGGCCCACGTGTGTTTTCTAATTTATTATGAGAGAACAATATTCTACACATTGCCTAGATTTTTGTACCAAATTCTCATAACTTAATCCTTTGAAACTTGGCTTCTGTTCTGCTTCCCTTGCACTAGTGAAACTGTTGTATGAAGAACACAGGACTTTAATTAATTCCACCATACTCCAACATCTTTTATCTGACCCATATTGCTCCCTCTGCCTTTGTGAATCTCTGTCTTTCACAGATGGTAATACCAGTGAGCTCACTTGATTTGCCCACCATCATTCTCATTCATTTTCTCTTTCCTTCACTGAGTCCTTTTCCTTTATTGAGCTCTTTAAGGCATGATTTTTCATAGGTCCTCTTTCCTCAAACACTTGTATGCATTCTTTCACTTAGCAATTCATTTTTTACCTCAGACTTTAAGTAAAATCTGCTATAAACAAGTGTTAATATGTGAGTCACACTCCCAACTGCCAATATCAACTGAGGAAAAGATGTCCATTTCTATGATTTTCAGACTCACCACTTTAAACACCATTTTCCTTCTTTTAACCCCCTAGTCTTAATCAGATCCTTCCTCTAATTTCTTGATTTCTATTCACAGGATCATCATTTTCTTTAGTCCAATGGGCTTGAAACCTCAGTAGTTGACTCTTCTCTTTTTCCTTTTAATTATTGTCAGTAGGCTGTCACTCTGATTCAACTTCTACAAATCCATTTACATTTATGTCCTCTTCCAAATTCCTTGTTTATTGCACTAAATCAAGCCCACAACACTTCCCACAATGCCTCTGGGTCCTTTTGTTTTTCTTAATCTTCTACCTGGCTCTGTCTCCACACTCAGTAGAAAACCACTATTTTTCCCCCATAGTTGCTTGCAATACTATATCCCACATTTCAGACTTACAGTCTAGTCACAGAGTAGGTGAGGTGGTACAGCTCATGCAATTTATTGGTAAACCAGACACAAAAGAAATGTAGACACAGCTCTGAGGCAAGACAGGGAAGATAAAGAGAATCAGAACGCTAATAAACTAGGAATTTTCAAAATATCTGGATTGAGGATAGCGTATTTTTTCCCTGGAAAGATTGCCAAATGAGACTCCTTTTAGCTAATGGGTGGTAAAAATATCAGAAACAGAAGCACAAAAGAAATGCATATTTTGAGACTTCTTGTGGGTTCTATCAAAAAGTATCTGCTCGGGGCACCTGGGTGGCTCAGTGGGTTAAGCCTCTGCCTTCAGCTCAGGTCATGATCTCAGGGTCCTGGGATGGAGCCGCGCATGGGGCTCTCTGCTCAGCAGAGAGCCTGCTTCCTCCTCTCTCTCTGCCTGCCCCTCTGCCTACTTCTGATCTCAATGTCTCTCTCTCTGTCAAATAAATAAAAAATATTTTTTAAAAAAAGTATCTGCTCATCTGATAAAGTAAAATATTGAGAGTGCTTTTTTACTTCCCTAAAATGGAAGACAAGAAAGGAGACTAGAGACAGTCAAATGAATTTTTAAAAAATGAAACTCATCTGGTGCTCAATACAAAGAAAGATCCAAACTACCAGAACTTTCTAATCTACCTTTATCACAAACTCCCATGTGGAACTATAATATCCACTTATTATAAGAAAAACTTCTCAATGTAAACATATCCTGAATTTTAACTTACACATTTTTACCAATTGTCAGAACCTTGCTATTCAAAGTGTTATCCAAAGACCAACGAAACTGGTATCACTTGGAACTTTTTAGAAGTACTCGGGGTGCCTGGGTGGCTCAGTGGGTTAAGCCTCTGACTTCGGCTCAGGTCATGATCTCAGGGTCTTGGGATCGAGTCCTGCATCGGGCTCTCTGCTCAGCGGAGAGCTTGCTTCCTCCTCTCTTTCTCTCTCTCTCTCTCTCTGCCTGCCTCTCTGCCTACTTGTGATCTCTCTCTGTGAAATAAATAAATAAAATCTTTAAAAAATAAAAAATAAATAAATAAATAAAGAAGTACTGGATCTCAGGTCTCATCCTGGAGTCTCTGCATTTTAACAGGATTCTGATACATAATAGAATTGAAAAAGCTGTGCTCTACAGAATACCCACAAATATCCAACCTTGGAGGAAAAAACTTTGTAGTTTCTAAAGTGAAACGGCATAATGTAAACATCTCGGGAGTCATGCTTCATCATCTATGCTCTAGGGGCTTTGGATACTATTGATATCATCCTTTTAGAAATCCTTATCTCACTTAGCTTTTCTAATGCAACAGCTACCTCTGTGGCTACTCCTACTTCCCAAATAACTGTTGACTCACTCCCACCCCCCCCTTAATTGTTGTACTATTACCATGAGTATTTTCAAAATTGTAATCCTAGGCAACAGCTGATCTACCCCTCTATCCTTTCTATCTCAGATCTATATTCTATACTCAAATCTCAATCCTAAACTCAATCTCCTTCTTAAATATCACCTTGAGATCCCTAACTATTATACCCAGATCACCTAGATTTCTCCCAGATATTCCAAAAATGTTCAAAACAACTCATTTTCCTTCTTTCAAATCATCCTCTCTCTCCAACTTTGCTATGTAACTTGACTGTCACCATTTTCTCCACTGAACAATATGGAGTTGTCTTGATCATTACCTACTGTTTTTCTTCCTCTGTGTCATCTCTCTTACAGACTCTAATAATATGTCTTCACTGGTCTCACTGTTTTCAGTCCATTTTTATTCCCAGACAAATCAAATAATTCCTCTCAGTCAACAGAATGAACTTTCCCAAAGAAGAATGAATGCCAACTGCTTTCTTTGAAATTGCTGTTGACCGCCGTTGTCCACAAGATAAAATCCAAGCCCTGTGATTTGGTTTACAATATTTCAGTATGTCCCCTCAGACTCTTACAGCCTCATCCACTCAGCGTATTTCCACCCCATGTTCTCCACTGTCACCACACCTCTGCTCCTTGCCTATGGCCTCTGTTCCTGTGGGTCCATGGCTTTTCTCATGAGGTTTCCTTCATCTGAAATGCCAGTCCTTCCCTTCCCTGCATTATAAAATCCTACTGCTAGTTCAAAATCCTGCTCAAATCTCGCCTTCTTGTTGAAGCATTTCTCAAGTTTCCCAGAGTTAATTTTGTCCTCTCCTGGTCCACAAATCTTAATTCTCCTCTAATTATTAGGTTAATGTGGGAATTTTTCATGGTAAATATCTGCGTCCTGAGAAGATTGTTTTATTTACAAGGACAGGAATTATGTTATGTCCACTTTGCATTCTCAGCTCCTTTCATGGGTTTATAATGTGTTTATAAATCAAATAATT